GCGCGCGGCAAAGGAGCGGCGGCGAGGGCGGGACGGTGCAGAGGGCGAAGCGCCGCAGAGGTGAGGTGTGCTGGGAAGAGGTGTGTGCGTTGTGTGGTGGATTGTGTCATCTTGTGTTGGAAGTGGTGCAGGCTGAGCCGGCTGAACAGGTTGAACAGGTCGAGAAGCTTGTTGAGGTGATCTGTCTGAAGCGCTGCCAACGCTGGAGTCGCAGAGTGGAAGATCCAACTCCTCGCTGTCGGCCGCAGATCGCGCCAGGCACGGCAGGCGTGGCGTCGTGTTCGTTGGCGTCGTGTTCCGGCCGGCTGCTGCGGTGGCGTCGGTCTCGAAGATCGTGGCGATCTGCTGACACGAAGCGAACAGGGTGGCCACGTAGCGCTCCACGAAGCTTTGAAGTCGAAGGTCGCTCATGGCGATGGCGACAGAAGGGTGGATGCTGCATGAAAGGCCGCCTGTCCAAGATGGATACATTGGGTATCGGATGAAAAACACGTATCAGAGCGAAAGCTCATGGAGTTTCGACCGACGAGGGTGGATGCTGCATCGTTGCTGCATCAAAGTCTTGTTGTTGCTGCGGTTCTTGATCACTCATGGTTCTGTGACTTCTTAGATGGTCGATTCCTAGATAGTTGGCTTGGTTTCAACTCCACAGCGATGACCAAGTTGTACTTCTTCTGGTCTTCAACTCACATGGAGGGTCACTGGGACAAGAAATGGCTAAGAAATGGCATCTGGTGAATGAAAGGACTGAAGGAGGAAATCTGAAAAGGCGCCGCAGATCTGAGTAGGAAGAGAGATTCGCTAATGATTTTCAAGGGAGAGGCAGAACCAACGAAGCTGCACCAGACTGGATGCGTTCAGGAGTAGATCTGCCTGGACTACACATGCATTGGCCGAAAACTGACAGATTTTGTTGCTCTATTTCAGTGCAGGACCAGTTGCACCAGTTTGTAGCCTTTTCTGCCGCGGCCATGAAGGATCACCCAAGCCGTTCGGCCGGGCAGCTCAGGGGTTCCGCGAAGCCTGAGAAGGGGCACGCGTATGGCATCCCGACTGCCAGAAAGGACACCACAGGGGCATTTTGGAGACCGGAGCATTCTTCCGAGGCGGTTCGTGACGGTTTATGAAGTCTTTTACTTAACATTTGTGTCTTTGTTTCTAGACGGATGGAAAGCCTTGGGAGATCACCAAGGGCATGGTGCAACCATCAGAAGTAATTGTCTATAACAAAAGCAAGAACATTTGCAGCTGTCTGAGTTGTTCACTATATAAACGGTGCACAAAAGCATCTTTGTCTTCAAGAGGGTGATCAGCAACTGAAGCAACTAACAAACACAACTGGAAGGAAGTCGAATTAAACATAAACAAAGGAAACTCTTGAACAACAGTGACTCATGCTTGAGTCTTTGCTAACTTGCTGCAACTGAGGCTTCTACTTCCGTTTCATCTTCACATTTCCTTCAGCTGCCGTGATGAAACATCTCCTGAAGGAGGCAAACTTAAGCTACCGCTGCACCATCCAAAGTTCAACCACATGGGTGCAAAGAAAACAAAGGCTTAGTATGGCCCACGTTAAAACGTTCTCCCAGGTGGCACAAAGCCAAGACCACGCGTCCATGATCATGAAGCCTACACTTTATCAGGGGAAAGCTGATGAACGGTCACCACCAAATCTTCCCCTCAAGTCTCTGCGCTACTGTACTACCAACCTGCTCCACGATGTCCACTTTGCAAATCTCTGACGCCCCTTTTCGATGCCGCACAAACCTGCTCATCTGAGTCTTTTCTGTAGCTTGGCTACGAGAAGCTCGGAAAACTCAGGCCTGGCGCCTTCGCGCCAACTTTTCAACGGTCACCTGCAGGAATGTGTTGTCCGAACGTTTCCCAAAGACATTTCCTTTCATCTTCTTTTGGTTCTTCGGAACTTCCGGCTTCACAGCCCATCCTGCAGCATTCCATTTCTAACCTACTTCCATTAAAGAGGCGATCTAGGGCCTAGGGCACAGGGTCTCGTGGGACCTCTTTGAGAACCTGCACTTGATCCCAGCTGTACACGATCCATTCATTCCCCGCCTTCTTCCCTTTATGGGGTCCTTTCATACAAACGCCCCGGTCCATCAAGACGGAGTCATGGCCCCTTCGCAGCAAATCCGCAAAGGTCAAGGACGGATCTTCCTTGCTTCGATCCAACAGCAGGTGTCTCCCGGTCTTCACCTCCAGCGACCCGACAGCCAAACGACCGCGCCGAAGCGGTTTTGGAGCGCGAAACCGAAGCAATTCCATGGGTCCAGGAACCGACGCCCGGTGCCCCATGGCTGCCTTCCAAGCAAACAACATTCTTCCTTGGAAAACAACAGTTTTCTTGGATTGACATCACCCTTTCCGAATCACAGACCTCATCATCTCATCTCCCACGCGCAAAACCCGAAGACCGCGCCACGCGGATGGGCCGCGGATCGCGGATCGCGCCTGGCACTCGAGGACGATGCCCTTCGACTCGGCCTTCCATTCGGTCTCCCGTGGCGTCTCGGCGAAGTAGATGCCACCTGCGAGCGAGCGAGCATGGGTTCGCCAACGGGTCCGGGGAGACTTTGGAAGATTGGGTTTAACTATGTTTAACTAGTCAAATTCACAAGTGAGTATCCAAAACAAAGGGAAAGCCAAGTGAATTATGAACCGATTTGCTATACTCAGTAGTATCATGTCCTGTTCTTGGTGAATGAAAGAAAACAGCCCTGCCTCCAACCACGCCACACCTGCCACGGATCATCTTCCCGCTACCCAAAATCTTCTTGGCGGATTCGGGGTCCGTCTGGTGGTACAAGGTCTGTGGCGGCGTGGCATCCAGCCATTCTTGCCTCTCAGGTGCCAAACAAAGGCTGTCGGGACGTCAAACCATGAAATGGACGCTGCGTTGGACAGTCAAAAGCACTCATCTCTAGGCTCTAGGTATTTTATTTGTTCTGAGAAGAACAACATGTCTTGACATGTTTGAACACCTCACTCTTTCACCTATCCTTCTGGAAGCCGGCGAGCTGAACAAAATTGGCCTAGAAGCAGCCTTTGAATTCGCTCCATTGTTGCCTCTCCCACCCACAGGAACCCACTGGACTCCCGGCCTTTCCTTTTGCCTCTCACGACACTCCAGGTTTGCGCAGGGAATCACCAGGAAGGCGCCCTTCCAAAAGTGCCACCGGCCCACCTTGTTCGTCTAAGCCATGGCGTTTTTCAACAGCAAAGACAAACGGTTGCTGAGTCTCTCTTGTATGTCATCTATCTATCTTGTAATCTTGTACAAATTAGATGTATCCATGCGATACACTCACTCCAAACGTTCACATCTTGTGAGTTTGAGCCCTAGCCATCCCCCCAAAGTATGAACAAAAGCTGCTCCAATCTAACGTCTGCCCAAACGTCCCCCGTTCCTTTGGAATCCACAAACCAAACGTCCCCACGCCTTGCCCCGCTCGCTGGGTGGGATCTCTCCACCGCAAAGGTGGCATGGCACGTCCTCGTAGTCCACGGGCTTCCGCTCAAAGACCATGCCAGACCGCAAATGGCGGCCTCAAAGACGCCAAACCATGCAGCAAAGTGAAAGAGATCTTTAAAGACCTACGTTACAAAGCTCCCCCTCTCTGTTTTTTTTGGACCGTTGGTGGCAGATTTCAGGGACAGTCCGAGTTTCCATGCTGCTGGCTGTTCGTGGTTCGCGGCTCCCTTTGACGTGGTAGTGGTGGCAAGTCAACATACCAACTCAGTCTTGCAGGGCCGAAATGGACAGTGAGGCGAATGAGGATCCTTCATCAAAAATGGAAGAACATGAGAGAGGACGCATGGAGAAAGGAAGCTTCTTGAATCCAATTTGATCAACCACTTTGTGGGCAAAGGACGAATTGAGGGATCCTACAGCTTTCGCTCGGAAAATCATCGGTTGGCCCGAAGCAACTACAGTGGCCAAACTGGTGCTTTCTTGCAAACCTATGGATTGAAAGGAATGAGAGAATGAATCCCAAATCCCCAGCGAATTTGAAGAACACACGTCCTGAAACCAATTCTTTGCGTTTCGAATTCATTCGCTATATTTTCGTACCCTAGAGCCACCCACAGGCGAATTCACCCCATCCTTCTGTTCAGAGCAGCTGGCAAGCTGTGTGCAGTTGAGGCGTCCGAGTTCACGATCCACGAGTTTCTCCTAAACTCGACGCCGTCGGTCCGCAGCGTAGCTCCAGCGTAGCTCCACCGGTTTCGCTCCATATTTTGGGCAGGTTTCAATGTTGCGAGGGTCATCCCCTCCAAGAAAGCTTTGCCTGACATCCGAATGACCATGCAAAGTTTCACCCACTAATTCCACGCACTACTACTCTAGTAGGACAACAACCGTCCCACCTACCAAACCATCCTTTCCCCTGTCTCCATACAACCCTTCGTCTCCACCTCCACCTTCCATCTCCTTCCGTCGATGATCTACTAGTCGCGACTTCATACCCAAAAATGAAAGCACCCCTCCAATCCTCCCTGCCATTCATCAGGATCACCGTCTCCTCCAATGTTCAACAAAAACGACCCAAAAACGATCACCGTCTCCTCCACGGAGTGGACCTCCAAAACGATCATCTCCTCCTCCTCCGGGTGGTTCCGGAACCGGGCCCGTGCAGCGGCCGTCGGGGAGAACGCGATGGGCACGTGGTCCCTGCCGCAAACGCAACGGAGGCCGGAGGAGCAAAAGGCCGGAGGCTGAAGGAGCACCAGGAAGCCAACAGTTGTTGTTTGTCAGTAGTAACAAGAAGCTACTAGAAACAAGTGCCACGCTAGTAGTAACAAGTGCCTTACTAGTAGTAACAAGAAGCTACTACCAACAAAAGTTTAGGCGGGCAAGAGCTGAAAGTTGATTCGATTTTCGAAAGAAGTCATGAACTACCCCAACGTGTAGTCCTGATCCACCACTTGTTAGGGGGTTTAAAATGAGTCATTTGGACTTTAGGGTATTTAAATCAATTCGCAACTCAAAAAAACATGAAGTCTGCCAAGTGCCGGTTGAGTCTCCGTACCTTTGGCCGATAGCCGTCCACCTCGATGTGATCAGCATCTCCTTTGGCCACCGCGATGTACCCCGTGGTCGCACCGTCCATGGAGGGTGCGAAGCGGTGCACGCGTTCGCACGCGGTGCACGGCGGGTCCGGGGCGGATCGGCGCAGGTTCGGATGCTGAAAGGCGACCGAGGCAAGCGAAGCAAAGCTTTAGCGCAGGTGCGGGGTCTTGGGAGAAAGTGTTGAAAGCCACACACTTGGGGTTCATGGCCCGTGGTGTGGTTCGCATGCGGGCGTTGAATCTTGTGTCACCTTTCCTGTAGAACTACCTCTCTCTCTCTCTCTCTCTCTCTTTTGTTTCCCAGCTTGGTGTGAAGAAGGAGGCATCAAACTGAGGAACGCCCCAGCGGGCTGTTGATGGGATTCTTGATCCAATCTATGCCGACCCCCTGTGCGACCAACTTGACACATCGAAAGATTGCAGGTCTGCGTAGGCTTGGCTTCGTAGTCTGCTTAATGTTGGTTTCCCTTGTCAAATCTGGTCAACTTGGGTTTTGGGGTATCCGATCACCACTCCTAGTCACCGGTTCGTTGACTTGTTGACAAATCCCAATTAAACCCAAAGCAAAAACCTCTCCTGAAGAGTCTCAATGTGCCATGAACAAATAGCTGTTGCTCTGACCAGCAAAATCTCCACCTGGCCAAAATGGGTGTGTCAAAATGACGGAACGCGGAAACCAAAGGGCTTTTATTTACCTAGCATTTCAGGAAAAATTGTACATTTGCCCAGTCAAATTCATCACTACTGAGCATCCTGGAGCACATTTCGGACGAGGGCAAATAAGCGAACATCGCTCACATTGCACTCAGCCAGGGTGGAGGATCACTCCCTCTTGACCGTCTTGACCTAACTACTCATGATTTCGCTGCCTGCCATGTGTCGTATGTGAAGGAGTGAGCGAGTTCAGGAAAGCTCCTAGGGCGGAGCTCTTAGGTTGGAGGTCATCGCTACTAGGCTGGAGGCCATTGCTAGTAGGTTTTCAGGAAAAAACCACAAACCACCTTGACACGGAGCTAAAGCTGGGCATACAAATCTCAGCGAATAGTCCAGAGGCCCTCATGAAGGACTTTAATGCCTTTAGTGTGGATCCCATCTGGCAAACAATCTCCTTGTTGCCGATGATTGAGCACTTCAGCTGGGACGACTTTACCTCATGAGGGCACAAGTCAAAGAACAAAGTGGGCTTGAGCTGAGCAATGCTTTGGCATGTTGAATTCAGTCGTATTTTCACAGTTTGCTCAGAGACTTGATGCAAGATCAAACCAAATCCACCCACCTCGCCTCTCTGTGTTGCAAAAAATACGCTTTGAGCTTTTTATTGCAGCCAGCTCAATCTAAATGCCAAAGCAGTAGGCAAATCCAATCATCGGGGCAGGCACCATGTTTGGCAAATTCATTCAAATCATTGCTCAGTGATTCTACGTCCTTGTTGACGAGCGCGAAATTTGCGCAATTCGCGCTCAAGCTTTTCGCGCTGAAGCTTTGCATGGCGCCGCCAAGCGCGGAGGGCGGTCATGAGCAAAGCGCGGTCAGCCTGAAAGGAACGAGTCAGGGGGGATGCAGCCAGAATAGCCAGTCCCTGGGGGAAGTCAAGGTTTATGCAATCACAGATGTGAAATAGGAGCTAGACACCTGAAACATAGGCTCAATGAACCGCTTTATGACGCCTTTTGCACGCTCTATGCAGAATGAAGGGGTCCTTTCGACCTTAACCATTGTAAACATGGTTTGACTAGGTGACCCGAAAAGAAACTTCTTTCACTTCAGTGGGGCAAAGATAGTCACTTCTAGGGCTAGCCTCCTTCCAATCTGCTGGTTTGGCCCACCCGGTTTAGGAGTGAAGGAACAAAGTGTAAAGTTTCGAAAACCACAGGGTTCTTCCACATCAACAATTGTTGGATGGAGGCGGAAATTGATCACCGAGCGTTGACTACTTCAGGTTGTCCATTGCGTGTTTCGTTCGTGGCCGTTCCGAAGGAGGTTGCGCTCAGCAGGCAAGGCCACACTGAAGTCTCTGCCATTCCCGCCTGGAAATTCCACTCGTCGATGGTTCTCGCTACCTGACACGGGGAACGCCATTTTGTAAGTTCCGCAGTGTCGTCTGGTGCTGGAATTGTGGGATTGACCAGCCCTCCTTTGAACCCAATACATCACCATCCAGGTGTGGAGTGGAGTGATTGGAGAAAGAATACTTTTTCTTTGATTAAATAAGGTTTCTGCAGTTGCTTTGCCAATTGTTTAAGGTCTTGCGCCGCAGTGGCGCCTGCTCCTTGCTGGCGCCATGCAACATCTTGAGCTTCGTTAACCAGTCTGCCTGGACGTGACGTGGCGCCACTGACAAGATCAGCCAAGGTAGGGTAAGCCTGCAAAGTAATGGCGATAGAATAGGGTGCCCCGCCAACCCCCTCGTAAATGGGGAGCGTGACAAAAACCTGCAAGCTTCGCTTCCCACTCTTGAGCCACGTCCAAAATAGAGAAGCGTGTGTGTGCCACCGCTTTTGGACCCTGGTCCTGTCCGGCTTTTCTGGGTGATTCGATCTGTGTGAAGCAAATCATAGTTGTGAGTTGGCGAACGGCGCGGTCGACCATGTGCGCACTTCTTTTCTTGTCACTTGAGCCAAATTGTCGGTAACATGTACATGATATGTGCTTTGCACTATTCGCGTCCCCCATGCCTTGTTCCATTTAGGTTCAAGACACTCCAAAATTGGGAAGAGCTGCAGCCATATACAAGGATATGGTTCGCCGCTGTCAGGGGGTATATCGGCGAGACCACCACCTTGAACACATTACAGACACCGTCAACCTGATGCGGTCTTTACATATAGGTATATATCTGTACCGTCGCTGATGGTTCCTTATGGGGTCAATGGAAAACAACTGACGCCCGCTCACAAGTCCTCTCAGGAGTTCTTCGAAGCGATGTGGGCTGCGGAGCAAGTTTTACAGAATTGTTGGGGCATCGGCCGGGTCGTCTTGGGTTTGGTGTGGCGCAGGCATCGATCTCAACGTCGGCACCTGGGGTCAGGGTACTGCAGTGATGGTGACCCTTGCTATGTTTCATATCGCCAACCGCTGTATTGACCATCATACCCCTCATCCTCGGTGGTTGTTGGTCGGCGTGAGAAGCTTGATGATCATCATGCAGCGTTTGATGTTGCTGCATATCGGCCTTTGCAACCTTCTGATGATGGCACCATTGGGTTCCCGTGAGCCCCAACACGTTCTGCTGCATCATCTTGATTGCCTTGTTCCACTCGCCAGGTGGTCGGCTGAAAATGACATGTAGGGGGTTGATGCAAATAGTGGGTTTGCTTTGGCGTCGCAACCAAAAGCGACCTTAAGGGCTTTCTTCGCCGCATCTTCTCTTTTGACGCTTTCTGCCATATTGCAAGTTTGGAACCCCTCGTCTGAAACCAGCTTTTGAAGGTGTTGTTTGTTGATGAAGAAGTGTAAAGTCCCGAGCGAAAGTAGTGCAGTGTGAGCGCGGAACATGAGCCATGTCTCCTCCACTGCCTCCCCTGGTTTATCGCCCGGATGATCTCCTCTCTGGTGATATCCTTATAGTCACCGTTGTCGCCCACACCTGGTGATTCGTCAGAAAACTTTTGCAAGGTGTTGTATCGCCTTGGACTTTTGAGAGACAGCTGGATCCTAATTTTTTGGGCAATTACCGATAGGTGTCGTAATGTGTCCTTCTGTCCTAATTCTTCTTATCTCGGAAGGTCATAGTCCTTGTCAACATGGTGTTCGACGACGGTTTCTTCTCCTTTGGATTGAATGCTCTCCTGAACGGCCTTCGGTCGAAGAAACATAGCTTTACCAGGTTCATGGGTATCTCCTATCACGGCTCCAATTGGGTTCTTCTTCTTCTTCTTCTTCGACGCCCTTCGTTGTGATGTTATACTGTCCATCAGGATATCTAGGTCATTGACCTCCATGGCATCATCCTCCGCACTCCGCAACTCATCGAGTTCTTCCTTCATCTGCTTCACGAATTTTTGAGTTGCCTCCGCTGGTGGTGGCGCTACATAGTCAAGGCCTTGGGAGCATGGTACCCCTGACCCAGCTCCAACGCAATACGTTCTCTCTGCTCTTTGCTTTGGGGGTGCTGGATCCCGCCTTCTCTTTCTTGTGCGTATAGGTACATGTTTTTCCATTCTTACAATCACCCATGGTGAAGAACTTGCGCCGGATCTTCTTCTAGTTATGGCTCCTTCCCTGCTCGACTCTCTTGACTTGCTCTTCCCTTTGCCTCGTCCTTTTTCGTCACCTTTCCCCTTCTTGTTCTTGACTGCGTGTTGAGGTGTTTCATTGTTCATTTAAGATTTAGCCCTTCCCTCTGTGACTGTGATGAAGTAACAATCTGATAGCTCTCGCTTTGGAGATTCTGGGCCTGCTAGCTGGGATTTTGCACGATGTTCATGAGCACTCATCACTCATGTCCGACATTCTGTATGCCATCTGTATTGTCCAGCATGCAGACTATGACGATGCTGAGTTGCCATGTACCTCATTCTTGTGCAACAGTCAACCTTCTCTCCCACTCTTCGATGCGCTATGTTGCTCCTTCACTTGTGGCCCAGAGGGGGGTGGCGAAAGCTAGGCAAAGAAACAACGCTGGGGCTCTTTAGGCAGCAAAAGCCTGGCCGGGAATCGCAACATGCCATGGCCAAGGGAAAAGGAGAGTGCCAACAGCGCCCCCCCAATACGACCCAGCACAGCCAACACATGGCAACACACAACCGCCCCAGCAACCGCAGCAGCAGCAGCAGCAGCAACAGCCACAACAACAATAACTGTAACCAGCAGCAGCAGCAGCAACAGCCACAACAACAATAACTGTAACCAGCAGCGGCAGCGGCAGCAAGCAGAAGCTACCAAGCAGCAGCAGAAGCAGCAGCAGGAGTAGCTAGCAAGCAGCAGCAGCAGCTAGCAGCTACCAAGCAGCAGCAACAGCTACCAAGCAACAGCAGCAGCAGCTACCAAGCAGCAGCAGCAGCAGCTACCAAGCAGCAGCAGCAGCTACCAAGCAGCAGCAGCAGCAGCTACCAAGCAGCAGCAGCAGCAGCAGCCAAGCAGCAGCAGCAGCCAAGCAGCAGCAGCAGCAGCAGCCAAGCAGCAGCAGCAGCAGCAGCTACCAAGCAACAGCAGCAGCAGCATCAGCAGCAGCAGCTACCAAGCAACAGCAGGTACCAAGCAACAGCAGCATCAGCCACCAAGCAGCAGCAGCAGCTGCCAAGCATCAGCAGCATCAGCAGCAGCTACCAAGCAGCAGCAGCAGCAGCAGCAGCAGCCACGAAGCAGCAGCAGCAGCAGCATCAGCCACCAAGCAGCAGCAGCAGCAGCAGCTACCACAGCAGCAGCAGCAGCAGCAGCTACCAAGCAGCAGCAGCAGCTACCAAGCAGCAGCAGCAGCATCAACAGCAGCTACCAAGCAGCAGCAGCAGCAGCATCAACAGCAGCTACCAAGCAGCAGCAGCAGCAGCATCAACAGCTACCAAGCAGCAGCAGCAGCAGGAGCAGCTACCAAGCAGCAGCAGCAGCAGGAGCAGCTACCAAGCAGCAGCAGCAGCAGCAGCAGCTACCAAGCAGCAGCAGCAGCAGCAGCAGCTACCAAGCAGCAGCAGCAGCAGCAGCTACCAAGCAGCAGCAGCAGCAGCAGCAGCAGCTACCAAGCAGCAGCAGCAGCTACCAAGCAGCAGCAGCAGCAGCAGCTACCAAGCAGCAGCAGCAGCAGCAGCTACCAAGCAGCAGCAGCAGCAGCTACCAAGCAGCAGCAGCAGCAGCAGCTACCAAGCAGCAGCAGCAGCAGCAGCAGCTACCAAGCAGCAGCAGCAGCTACCAAGCAGCAGCAGCAGCAGCAGCAGCAGCAGCAGCAGCAGCAGCAGCAACAGCACACACACACAGAGATCACACACACCGAGACAACACACATCACACACACCGAGACAACACACACAGAGATCATCCTCCCTCCACACCGAGACAACACGTACAGAGACCACACACCGAGACAACACACACAGAGACAACACACACCGTGCGTGGCAGGCGCAGCACTTTGTGACAACACACACCGAGACGTCACCAGAATTGGTGGCAGGAGAAGCGCTTTGTGAACCTCCATGCTCCGTTGGAGGCTGTGGGTGTTGCGTTGTCTGCGGTGTCTGCGGTTGTCTGCGGTTGTCGGCGGTGGTCGCCGGTCCGTCCCTCCATTGTGATTAGAGTATTCACTTGTTTGTTGACGTGCAGAATTCGTGGCAGGCGCAGCACTTTGTGAACCTCCACGTGCAGAATTCGTAACAGGCGCAGCACTTTGTGAACCTCCATGCTCCGTTAGAGGCTGTGGGTGTTGCGTTGTCTGCGGTTGTCTGCGGTTGTCGGCGGTGGTCGCCGGTCCGTCCCTCCATTGTGATTAGAGTATTCACTTGTTTCTTGACGTGCAGAATTCGTGGCAGGCGCAGCACTTTGTGAACCTCCATGCTCCGTTAGAGGCTCTGGCTGTTGCGTTGTCTGTGGTTGTCTGCGGTTGTCTGCGGTGGTCGCCGGTCCGTCCCTCCATTGTGATTAACCTCCATGTGCAGAAGTCGTGGCAGGCGCAGGACTTTGTGAACCTCCATGTGCAGAATTCGTGGCAGGCGCAGCACTTTGTGAACCTCCATGCTCCGTTAGTGGCTCTGGCTGTTGCGTTGTCGGTCGGTGGTCGCCGGTCTGTTCCTCCATTGTGATTGGAGTATTCGCTTGTTTCTTGACGCGCAGAATTCGTGGCAGGCGCAGCGCTTTGTGAACCTCCATGTGCAGAATTCGTGGCAGGCGCAGCACTTTGTGAACCTCCATGCTCCGTTAGAGGCTCTGGCTGTGGCACTTTTGTGAACCTCCATGTGCAGATTTCGTGGCAGGCGCAGCACTTTGTGAACCTCCATGTGCAGAATTCGTGGCAGGGGCTGTTGCGTGGTCGGCGTGACATGGCTAGATTTCAGAAGTGTCTCAGAAGCTTTGCAGTTTAGAATCACGCTTCAAAACAAAACTGAATCGCCCGGAGTGCTCAAGCTTCGCTGCAGAGAGTGTGCCGGATCTACCAGGCCGCTGTATGTGACTTTTACACACGCTGTTTGGATTCATTCTCTGCGCAGTCTCACTGCATAGGGTTTGCAGGCAGTGATATCTGACGTGCAGGTTTTCAGAAAGTGTGTCGGATCTACCAGGCCGGTTTATGTGAATTTTCTAAATGCTGTTTGGACGCATTGTCTGCGCAGTATCACTGCATAGGGTTTGCAGCCAGTGCTATTTGTTTACGTGAAGCTTTGTTCCCCACATCTTAGTGTGGGGTTCTTCTTTTCTATGTCTCATCCGCCTCCCGATCCGCCGCCCGCCTCCGCCTCCTCCCTCCACACCGGGACAACACATACAGAGACAACACACACAGAGATCACACACACCGAAACAACACACACAGAGACAACACACACAGAGATCACACACACACACAGATCACACACACCGAGACAACACACACACACATCACACACACACAGAGATCACACACACCAAGACAACACAGACAGAGATCATCCTCCCTCCACACCGAGACAACACGTACAGAGACCACACACCGAGACAACACACACAGAGATCATGTGTAGATTTCGTGGCAGGCACAGCACTTTGTGACAACACACACACACCGAGACGTCACCAGAATTCGTGGCAGGTACAGCCCTGTGAACCTCCATGCTCACAGGTAAGAGGCTCTGGCTGTTGTGTTGTCGGCGGTTGTCTGCGGTTGTCTGCGGTGGTCGCCGGTCCGTCCCTCCATTGTGATTGGAGTATTCACTTGTTTCTTGACGCGCAGAATTCGTGGCAGGCGCAGCACTTTGTGAACCTCAATGTGCAGGCGCAGCACTTTGTGAACTTCCATGTGCAGAATTCGTGGCAGGCGCAGCACTTTGTGAACCTCCATGCTCCGTTAGAGGCTCTGGCTGTTGCGTTGTCGGCGGTTGTCTGCGGTTGTCTGCGGTGGTCGCCGGTCCGTCCCTCCATTGTGATTGGAGTATTCTTGTTTCTTGACGCGCAGAATTCATGGCAGGCGCAGCACTTTGTGAACCTCCATGTGCAGAAGTCGTGGCAGGCGCAGCACTTTGTGAACCTCCATGTGCAGATTTCGTGGCAGGCACAGCACTTTGTGAACCTCCATGTGTAGATTTCGTGGCAGGCACAGCTTACAACGAGGTTCAGGTGGCCCAGGTTTGTTACAATGAGGTTTGGTTCATCGGTTGTCCCTCTTCACTTGGTTCTTCTTCATCGGCAACCACACGCGCACACACTTTTCGTCTGTCTCGCCTCTTTCATTTTCATCTGTCTCTTTTGCGCGCGCATGTGCCTTGCCTCCTTTCCGGGCAGGATGGAGGCCACACATGCCTCCCTTCGGGGAGGCGTGTGTGTGTAACCTTTCAAATCACAGGGAACCCTCGGGTTTGGAGCAGGGGACCAGGCCAGATACATCGTCGCCTGGTCAACGAAGCCGGCGATGTATCTGAGGATATGGAAATGGGACGCCATTTCCACGTACCTGCTCCACTATTCAGGAAAACAGGAGGAAATGGTACTCGACACACTTGTGTGTCGGTGCCTTTCCTTCTGCTTTCCTCTACTCTACCCTGTGGGTTTGCAGGTAGGCCTCCTAACTTTGTAATGGGGATCTTTAACCCGAACTTTGGCCTCCATCCACTAGAATTGGCCCCCAACCTTTGCTGTCTTGTGTGTCTTGTGTTTCTTGTGCTTCTTGTTACCAACCTACTAGCGTTGGCCCCCAACCTGCTTTCGACGGCCTCCAACCTAAGAGCGAAGACCCCTCACTTTGACGGTTTTGCAGTTTTGGTTCTTGTCACCAACTTACTAGCGATGGCCCCTTAACCTGCTTTCGACGGCCTCCAACCTAAGTGAGAGGACCTCCAACTTTGACTGTTTTGACTGTTTTGCTGTCTTGTTTCTTGTCACCAACCTACTAGCGATGGCCCCTCAACCTGCCTTCGATGGCCTCCAACCTAAGAGCGATGGCCTCCAACTTTTGTGCCTCGTTTTACTCAAGCCTTTTTTAAACCTAGGTTGGCGTGTGGCGCCGCTTTCAGTTCAGTACACCAAATCATAAGTGTGTGTGTCCACACCTGTCTCTAAGGTTCGCGCATTTCATGCGTCATTGGTACTAATTCATTCCGAATGCAGCAGGGGGTAGCGGCAGATCATTTGGGACCGCTGCCAGCGAAGACGCCCACTTGATCTGGTGACATCAGAGTTGGCCACTCTGACGTACCCGCGCCAACTGTTTCAAGCGTGGTAAAGGGCTACTGCGTTTGTTAAACAATTCTTCTCTCCGACCCAGCATCCTTTCAGCTCTGCAAGTCAAGGGCTAGGTATTCAGTAACTAGAGTGCTAGGTAGTCAGTAACTAATTCCTGGAACTTCTTTCACTGACTCAGCTCTTGCGAGCATCTCTCTAAGTGGGTGTGTTGTCACCCTCCGTCTCTAGGAGTTTGTTCACTGTTCTTTTCTATTTTCGCGCAGGGGCGTGCAGCATCTGTGGTCCACTGCACGCAACGAAGCTAAGACCACAGATGGGAAGGGATCAAGGACGCTTGATCCTGTACCTGCTCGATAACACACTGACTCCACTCTTCCCGCGCTTTCTGTTGGTTCCATTGTCGTTCTCCATGATACTTCCCCCCGAGCCCACTTTATTGCCGCGCTTGCAGCCTGTCACCATTCAACCACGCAATTGCGCTGACCTCATCCATTTCACGGTGGATTGTGACTAACTGAAAACCCTGTGACTAAGTGTGTATCGCTGTGTCTCCCCACTGGGTACACAGTGTGTCCCCCCTCGTCTCCAGGAGGTTTTCTGTTTGTCCCGAAAAGCAGGGGGCCATCCCTAAGAGGCCAATGGTGAGAGCTGTAAACGTACCTGCAGTTCTACACAGGGTAACAGCAGGAAATGGTACTCGACACACTGTGTGTGTCGGTGCCTTTCCTTCTGTTGTCCCTTTTCTAGTCTACTCTACCCGGGCGGTATCGACCCCTAACTACTGCACGGCCGTAATTCAAGACCGCTAAGTATTCAGTAACTAGTAGTAAAGGGCTAATGCGAAACAACATGTTAAAACCTTTATCATACTGGATGAACCCGTGTCTGAGTGTGCCTATCTGTGTGAACCAGTGTGAACCTGCATATTTCCCTTGGGGAATTCTGCGTGGAAAGGCAAACTTTTGTCCTGGCGGTGTATGTTTTCGTTTTGCGTAGACCGTATCAACTGCCTTCACCGATTGAAATCACACCGTGACCACCCAGCCTTGACACGATCAATAGGATCAAACTTGAGTTGGTAGATCTTGCTCTCGATCTCATTCTCGGATGGATCCCACACGGAGTTACTAGACATCTCCACTTCCTCTGGAGCCTCCTCACAGCAAGTGCTGAGTTGCTAGGGGTCATGAGCGAGGCATGGTCACACGGCCTCTAGCTTGTAGTTCCCAAACAGACGACATCTCATGACACAAAGACCACAAGCAGAACACGAAGCCCCAGTCACCCCATAATACTCTTGCGCGTCCTGCTGGAGATCAGGAGCAGCATCTAACTGATCATCCTGCCATGCAAAGTCTGTTGATGAAGCCAAAGCTTACAAACGCTTGATCGACACTTCCCTACTAGCACCACCCCACCACACTGTACTCTTTCACCTCCTGCCGGATTTCAAGAGCAGCAGCATTTGCCGCATCATCCTGCTGCACAGTGTCATCAGCTTAAGCACAGTGCGACGCCAATCAAGCTAGAAACATGAAGTGCAAAAAACGATATCAAGATTTCAACTTCCATATAAGAAAATTCCTGCATCTATGCAAAAACAAGATTAGTATTCATCTCATTGTTGGGAAGGGCATCCATCTTAGTTGCCCAATTCAATGCAGCCTCCTATCTATGTAGTTAGAGACTTGCTACAATCGTTTGATCTGATTGGGTTTGTGCCAAAAGCTGTGTCAGCATTCAGACCTTCACTTGTCAGCCGAGACACTCTCAGAGCTTGGGCAGCTGCATCCTTCCCTACCTCTGAACGAAGCAAAGCCAATCAAGCAGGACACATGGAGTTCAAAAACGAGATCACTGTCTCAATTTCACTTTCAGTGGACACCTTCTCTGCAAAAGTAGCACTATTGATCTCATGTTGAGAAGGGCATCCATCTTAGTTGCCTATGTAGAGACTTGCTACAATCGATCGATCTGTTTGGGTGTGTTCCAAAAGCTGTGTCAGCATTCAGACCATCACTTGCTAGCCGAGACACTCTCAGAGCTTGGGCAGCTGCATCGTTGCGAAACTCTTCCTTCCCTACTTCTGAACGATACTCTTCCTTTTTGAATTGTAATGTTGCCAGAAACTCTAGCCAACCTCCTGTGACGTACTTGTTGACCACCATGGCCAAATGCTGCGCTCTCGTAATGCCCACGTAAAGCTTAGCCCTAGTCATCAAATCCACCTCTGCACCCTTGCCCTGAACCTCTTCATCCAGGCCAATGCACACAACCATCAAATGTTCGTGTCCTCTGGCATTATCGATGGTGTCCAGCAGAATAAGCTCCTCCTGTCCTTCAAAGAACTTTGTGGGCACGAAACTCAACGATTCTTCAAAGGAAACAAGGCGGAAGCGTCTATGTCTGAAACCCACTTCTAGCTGCTCTTGTAGACTGTCTTTGATCTTGTCCAAGAAGTGTTGACCTGGGACTAGCATGGCTAGGCGACCATGAAGGCTTCTAAGGCCTGGGTACACTTTGGCCAGATGTGATAATGTCTTCTTGGTGTACTGGCAGTACATGTTCATCTCCTCTTCTTTGCTGTTGTGTGTTCTCTCAAAGATAAAGCTCTTGAGTGCTGGGCCATCTGGGCCAATGCTTGAGACCTCCTGTGTCTCGCCGATTTGAAATGCTGATGCAGCCCTCACAAGACGCTCCGTGCTCCGAACGACTTCCGAAAGGCTTTCTCTCGCATATTCGGGATATTTCTCATCCAGGTTTAGAGCAGAACACTGCGACTGGTCTGAAAGAAGGAGCTTCTTCTTCGCATTGATTTGGTCCAAAAGGTGGCCGAAGCCTTCTCGAACAAGCTCGTGGCACTCATCAAAGACTGCCAGCAAGAAATCCGGAGTGTGCACGTTCTCGCCCTTGGTGTTCTGAACGATCTTATTGCCCTCAATACGCAAAGTAACCAAGTCCTCATAAGGCTTTTGAAGCAGTACTATCCTTTTCATGATTAGGTTCATTGCCTCATGGATTGATAGCTCTGTGAGTGTTGAATGTCTGACAGCAAGCCATCGAACGAAGTAAAGTCCAAGTGAGATTTGGAGAGATACGAATAACATTTGACCAGAGGAATTTCGGTCGTCCAACTTCAACTCGTCCAAGGCATATTGGATCGCTACAAATGTCTTGCCACATCCTGCGGGAGCCGTCAAGTGCAAGTTCTCGCCCAGCTGCTTGAGATTCTGCAGCTTCTGCTCTTGATGATCCGTCAGCTTTGACAATGTCAATAGGCTTTTCTCATAGCGTTCCAAAAAGTCGGATTGGTCAACATGGATTTGTGCAAAGGCACTGTGCTCTTTCGACAAGGCCAGGTCCAAAGCACCGCTTAGGACTTTGTTTCTTAAGGCTTGTGCGACCTGCACTTTCTCGGTGGTCACTTGGAACATCAAGGACGGGGTGCCATCTCGAAGGTGGGATTGAACTGGAGCCTGAACCTGGATTCCTTCTGAAGACCGCTCCACCATCGCTTCCAAAACACTCTTCAAGGTCTCTTGCAGGCCCGCCTGCTCGGCAACCTGCTTCAATGGGTTCTCCAAGTGCCGAACGTGCTTCGAAGCAAACAGCTTGTTCGTCTTGTCGCACTTCACTATCCACTTCGGCCCCTAAACTCTGCTCAAGGTCTCAGAACTTTGAGAATCAGGCATCGTCAACACCATGGTTCCTTCTCGCCAGCTGCCATCGGTGGGATCTTCAGCAAACACCTTGCAGTTCGGATGAAATTCCTGAAATAAGAACCGCTTCACATCGATTTCGTCGTAGTCCCAAGTGTCTCCTTCAATCTTCCGCATGGCCTCCACATAGGCAATCTCGGCTTTTTGGCTGCCACCGCAGCCCACACCGTCCCAGAGATCTCTGAAGGATAGCTCGTCCCAGGCCACCTTGCCCTGGCCCCTCTGCCCAGGGAAAAAGACCACTTGCAGTCTTTGGCCAAGCTGCACTGCCTGTTTCACCTTCAGGGTTCAAAGCTCTGATGGTGTAAATGGACAGCACCCGAATCATGCTCCTAAGCACAGAAAACAGATCACTATCTCTAGGAAGGAAGAAGACAGTCCGCTAGATGAAATGGCAAAGCTGAAGGCACAGTGGCGTATAAAAGGGTACCTTGATCCAGACTTGTTGCATCTAGATCACTCTTCATCAGTTGATTGCGGCATGGCTGGGCGCTGCAGATCTGTGATGTCGAGGGAACTTTTTTTGCGAATTGGTGAAGAATACAAGACCAACTTTGGTATCACAATCCCGTCTTTGAGTCTTTGAGCTCGCGGTTGATGCCTACTTTCGTTTCTTTCGTTTTGACTTGCCTGATGGCACCTGGCCACTGTTTAGCTGATTGCAATACCACAGGAAGCAATCTGAGGATTGGCTGCGCTGGGGTTGCTAGGGCTTTGGCAAGACCATCTACGAGCAAAACTGTTTGCAGTTAGACAGGCCCCCCTTGTGACCCGGCGAGCCCTGCACCTGCTCCATCCAAACGACGAACCACTCGCAACCCCAGGAAGCGACCTTCCCATACTTCTCCCAGGCTTTCTTGGCTTCTTCCTCATACGCCTTCCTTTCTTCTGGGGTGGCATGAAAAGGGACCACAATGGCATGGGTACATTTCGCGTTCTCCAGTGCTTGCTTGAGTTTTTCCGGATCAGGGTCCTTCATCTCGACCAGATAGCCGAACTGCTTGAAGTTTCTCTCGCCGTAGATCTGGCTACACCAGCACTTCCCACTTCCATCATCTTTATGCTTGCCAAGGCCAGTCTCGGGGGTGGTCAAGAAAACACAAGCGACGGATTCACCATGCAATGCAGCCACCAAAGCATCCCACCCTGAAGCAAACTTCCCTGGAAAAGAAATGATGCAAAACGTGGCTTCTCTTCGAATGTTCCCCTCGAAGGCAATGTCACCGGTCTTGTCAATGACAGATGCCTGCCCATTCATGACGAAGTGCAGTGCAAAGTTTTCCTTCACTCGCTCACTAGTGGAAGAGCCACCGATAGTTTGCGAGTCCTCATGATCAAACCCAATCGTTTCTGTTTTCTTCTTTGCCATGAGATAGCTAGACTTGACTGGCTGCCTGTGAAACCTGAAACCAAACATGCTGCTTCTGCACATGTCTAGCGCTCTACAACTCGATGCATCAAATCAAACAAGGGTCCTTGGCAGAAGATCTGCTGCCAGCTTCAGGAAACTTACCAACAAGTTTGTCGTTCTTTGCTTGCATCGTTGTGAGAACTTCTCGCAGCTTTTGCTCAGCTTCCTCTTTCTTGTCCAACTGTTGCAACAGAACCGCCAGGTCTGTCTTCGTGTTCAAAGTATCCACATAGTCCTGTGCGCACGAGGCATGACTCCAAATGAGTCAGTCCAACAGCTGGAGACAGGTGGAGACAGTGGAGACAGAATCAATTTGGAAGTTGCCAGGTTAGATTTCACTGACAGAATGAGCAGGTGGGATGGTTGAAGATGGGAAAGGACAAACTCACGTGGGTTGAATGCCATCAAACACTACAAGGTGAGATCAACACAAATTTCCTCAGTGAGCTGGTAGATTGATAAAATCAGCTGAGGCCTGTTTAATAATCGAGGCACCTTGTTCACCCAATTACTCTATGCATTCTACAAAATCATTTCTTGCCATCTTGTGCTCTCAGCAAAGTAAACAGGACTCAAATTCAGCTTTAAAAGCTAATTCTTGCCAGAGGTTCCCTCTCTCACCCCAAGTCCTTCCCAAGCCATTTCTCTTTTATGTCTAGGACTTCCTTCACCATCCACTCCTGGACAGGTTTGCAGGTTTGAAGCTTCGTTGGGTATCAAGCAGTCAAAGACTTCTGACACTTAGAAAGCTGCCAAACAAGTCTCATTGGTTCGAATTTCTATTGACTTGGGCAGTGTGCTACAGCAGCTTGTGGACAGCGCGACTGCTCTCATTCCACACCCATAGTATTGGATCGTCACGGGCATCGACTGCTACCTTTGTCCACATTGCCGCTCCTTGTCTTTCAGATTTTTGAAAAGGCATGGAAGCAAAGCAACGTTCTCAATCTCTTGGATGATCTTCTTATGGATCTCAAGCTCGCTCTCCTGAAGACCAAGAACATCCACACTTCTGCTGCCAGGTATGCATTAAAGGTGTTATTCTTGTACAACTCCTTTAGACCCCGCCATTATCACAGCCATGTCCTCAGACGTGGCACAATCTTCGAGAGCTCCCTCCAGGTTGCGCAAAGCACGCTTGACTTCTTTCATGATCTTTGGGTCGAGTCTGCGGGGCCGTATCTTCTGTACTTCGTTGAGTATGATCTGCTCGGCAGGCAACTGAAGCTCCTTCCAGTACGCCTGAAAAAAGCTTTTGGCAGGAGGCCATCGTTCTTAGATTCCTTAAAGTCTTCTTCTTAAAGTCCTTTTTCTAAGGCTGAAAGGATTCCCAAAAGCTTCAGCTCAACTGCTCTGGCCTTGCAATTTGAAACACCCTCCTTGAGCGCTTTCTCAAGCGAGTCCTTTCAGGCGAGGAAATGACACATCAGCAGCTCAGCGTGTGCATGCCGGGTCTATGATTCACATGCTCAACCACAAGCTTTCCTAATGAACACTTCATCCTCCGCAAGTAGCAACAGGAAGAATATCATTAGCATCCCCATCAAACAGTCAGTTCTTTCATTCTTGTGAAACGCATCCTCTCGACCCAGCACTAAATCACTTGCCAGGAGCAATTTTCGCGGTGCAAAAACCAGACAGAAAGAGCCCCTCTGCCTTCAGAGCTTCAGTTCGCACATCGCTCTTCGCATCGTTGGTCTTAGCCTTCACAAGAAAAGACTTCAAGCAAGAACGGCTGGCTTAGAAGAAAATTGGAACACATTCTGTTGGGAATCATGCAGCAGCGCTGCATTCGCAGTAGAAGTTGAACAGTATTGCGAGAGCCCGAGTCGAAAATTAGTCTAACGACCTTGCGTTGGTTGAAAGCAAGGTTGGCGTTTGACCTCCTTTCAACACGTGTCTTAAACAAAGGCACCGCTGACCGTCAAATCGGCAGCGAACATACCCATCGGAGGAACTGCTTGGCAATGCCTCAAATTTCTTCTTGTGCGTTGGCCAATCCTCCTTGCGCAGCCGCTGGGTGTGGCTTCTGCAAAGAACAACGTCCACAAATGTTTTCTCCTCTGGCGGCATTTCGTTAAGCTCTTCGTTTGCAAGGCTTGCCTGTCGCTGCTTGGTGTGTCCATCTGGTAAATCATCAAGACAATGCGAACAATTACACAACCGTACACGCAAAAACATGCCGTCAAGGCAGCGTGTGCCAAGGCAGTGATCAACAACTACACTGCCATGTGGAAAGTTGAACCTCTTGACCTGTAGGGCATGAGAACCCTCCCCCGTTTCGAATCCTACATGCTTTGTGTTGTGCTGCATCTTGTGGTTAGATTTCCACACCTGAATGCCTCCAACGCGTGTTAAAAGCACCATGCTGCAACTGCAACACACAACACATGTGCAAACCTGATTTGCAATGGACCACAGGTATGATGCAAAAGCATATCAAGAGAGTACACTGTATTCCGGTGAATCAACGCACACTTGACAAACTCCCACATTACATTCACAAACAATCCTTTATTGCAGTCAGGTGCTGCTGAGCAAGGAGTTGGGACGGGACGTTGACCCGCGAGGGATGGAAATACTCAAGGAACAACCGTCGACTCTCCCCAAACATCATAGAGATGGAGATGGGTGGGAGGGCCACCCTGAAGAGGTGATTTGCTGGTTGAGGGGTGGAGCGTGAGAAGGGAGAACTTGGCATTCTTGGCTCTGGGGGTGGCAGGAAATGGTTTGGTGGTAATGTAAAGGGATATACATCCAACGAGGGGCGGATCTGGAACAGGGCGGGAGCTGAGTGGCTCATTCGATACATGGATGAGCAGACTGTCTGATGGATAGGAATTGCTGTGGAAATTTCAAATTGCTGTGCAATACCTGTGGTGAACGACAGAGTCTGGTGGCACGGCCATTCGGTCAGCAAGAAATCGACAAAAAAACAGCGTCTAAATGTGTCCAAGTATCCTCGTCGTTCCTCAAAGCAAGCTCCTGCAAAAACAGAACTCACTCAAAGGACATCTGAGTGTTGGGCACACTTTTGCAGTCCTTTGCGGTGTAACTGCTATCTTTACAGTCTAATCTCAAACCGTAAACTCCATGTGGCAATTGCAAGGCCATGTACTTGTGTGCACATGTTCATCTACTTGTCCCTGATCATTTCTAGTCGAAAGGATACCAGCTCTAAGTGAGTCTTTCAAGGTGTCCAAAGCCCCAGCAGTTTTTGCGACATAAACGCAAATGACGGTTTGCCCCAGCCCGATTGCAACTCCCCCAGTCTGAGCCACCTCTTGCACTGTCTCAGCATCTAAAGCTGACGCATCTGGTTGCGAGGCTGGCTCTGTTGGTGCGAGAGATGCCTTCCAACATTTCTTGGAGACAAGACGAGGGGTCCTCTGGCGGCGTCTCCTCAACTTCTGTCTCCAAAGGCGGCTGGGGCGGAGCTTCTGTCAGCTTCTCTCCCTTCACGACCCTCAACAAAACGACCGCTTGGCGAAACAGTCTCTGGCATATCATATACACCTGTTTCACCCCCTTTCAATTCCGCACAAAACAGCCACATGCTGTTCCCTGTTGGCAAAGATCAATGCTACAACGCTCAATAAATCTACTGTCAAGGTGCCTCTCAGCTTTTTCAGCTTTTGCAAAGTCTCGCCAGGCATGCAGGCAGCGAAGCAACAAGCGCACATTTGCATGCCTCGGGAAAGCATTCAGCTTGAAAACATGAACGTCCCAAATATTGAGTGACACTTGGCGAAACAGTGTCTATGCCTTATCGATTGCCAACATCTGTTTGGCATATGGGCCGCTGACATGGAAAGAGAAGGCCAAGCTGGCGTGAAGGGCACATTAAGGGTATTGCCAGGGTGCTTCTCAGCTTTTTCACCTTTTGCAAAGTCTCGCCAGGTGTCCAAACCGTGCAGCAGCAAGCGTTGCATGTCTGCATGCCTCAGGTGTTCGGAATTCGGAATAACCCTGTAAAGTTTCGGCGGGGACACGAGGTCATGCGATCCGCACTGGTCATGCGATCTCTGCTTCTCTGCTTCCGAGGCGTTCTCTGCGGGTTCCACGTCTTTGCTCTGGAGTTTGACGGTAGCACCAAGCTGGTTCAGTGGTCTATCGCACTAAACATGTTCCTTGGAATGCTTGGACAGTTCATCCCACTGATCTGGGATGCCAATTCGCTATGATCCGCTACTCATCGGAAAGGGAAAGCTCTTTTACCCGATTTTCTTCGATTCTGGTTCTTCATTGCCTAGTGACTAGTGTTCTCCATCGCCTAGTGTGTTTCTCAAAAAAAGTAGGAAATGGATGAAATAGACCTAAGTCATTGGAGTTTGCCGGCAATTTAAGACATAGCGTATACCCATACAAGGATAAAACAAATGATAAAAGTATCTGCGGCCCCACAAGCGAAGGAAAGTATGCCGAAAAGATGTCCCACGAAAAAAAGAAAGCCTTGACATGCCTTGGCCCAACGCAACGTGGCATGATCAATGAAGTTCAACGTGGCATCACCAAAGCATCGCAAGGCCGATGCCCGCACCGAGCGACCTCGCAGCCTTCTCCGTCGCTGCAAAGTCGTGCCATCCGCAAAACGAATCACGGAGCAACGTCTGCAAAGCTGCATGCCTTACATGTGGGCGGCTCTGAACTTCTATGACTGCATCGACTTTCAAAGAACTGGAACCCACATTCTGCCAAAGCCATGAACCGTGACCTTCGCACGAAAAAGACTTGCACCGCCGTGGGTGTTTGTTGGAACCCAGGTGCCGAGCAGTCTTTTCTGCCTGAGCGAAGTCGCCCCAAGCTTGCCAGTACGGAAGCAAGTTCCGCAAGCTCAGCAGGGGTTCCTCCTCCTTGGATGGAACCTGGCGCTGGAGGCAGCGCAAGCAGCTCTAGCACACTCCAAAGGTCACGGCATGGCTGACACTCAGGACATGTCGATGTCAGGACACTGAATCACTGGGCAAGATGTCAAAAGGCCATGAAGTTGAGAGCTGTGTGTCCGCCTTGAACAAACAGAACCTAAACCTAAAGAACAAAAAACAGATAAACACAAAACTAAACTTCAATCATACACTCTCTAAGAACCAGGACAGCACTCTGATTGAACTTCCCAGCCTTCTCATCTTCCCTCAAAGTGGGCTCCTGCAAAATCAACTCAGTCACACAAAGTGTGGTCGAAGACTCCGGACTACGTCCGCCCCTTTGACGCAGTTACTAAGCTATGGGCTAGACGGCTTGACCATCAAAACCATGCTTTGCACCAAATCACGGCAGACCTGCTCGGATGATGACTTCGCTTCTGCATTGGCTGCGACAGTGGGCAATTCCCCACTGGTGCCATTTACAGGATCATCTGGCACAAGCACCTGAGCACCGCAAAATTGAACGAACTTAGCCATGATGCAAGACATGGACATTCTGCGACCATAAAATGGCGCAGGCGCCTGGTCAGGAGACTTGCTGCTCGCATCTGTCGAGCTTCCACAGGCTTCCTCTCCCGGCTCGACTTCCGATTCGAGGGATTGGGCCAGTGTGTGGCCAAATTCCAAACAATTTGCATCCAAATGAGGTGTTATTGGCACCAAACTTGGTGGAAATTGGTTGTACTTGTACTTTGGTCAGCACTGTGATGCACTCCAAAGGCATGAAAGCTCCGCTCTGCGTCACTGGGCTATGTGGAAAAGCTGTGAAGTATCAGTCTTCACACAAAGCTGTTTTCGCCTCACTCTCCACCAACATCAACATCCGCTAAGTGTATGTCGTGAGATGTTTCTTGATTCGATCTTGCAAGTCTAATCTATTCCACTCTCTAACCTATTCTATGTCTAGATGGTCATAAATGCTTTAGTTGGTGAAGCAGTGCAATCACCAGGTCCATACATTTGTTCCTACTGAGCTACCACTGTTGAAGCGATACACACACACAAATACACCGACCTTTGGAAGTTGTGCATGGCTTGCCGGCAGTGTCTCAACGGCAAGCGCTTCAGAACCTGCATACACTTCAGGCCAAAGCGCTGTTGGTTCAGAACTTCTGTAGAGGAAAACATTGACGCTGTTTCAAGTTGGGCCTGACAAACACGGCTCAAACGTTCTTTAGCATTCGGTGAGCCTGGTTTTTGCCGTGATCTTTGCGAGCTCCCCTAATTGAATATAGTGGAACATGGACACCTCAAGACCTTCGCTTTGAAAAACAAGTCTCTTTTCGGCGAGTCCATATCTTTTTGAGGTGAATTCTAAACCAACCCAATTGTGACGAAGAGCGACACCTAGTGGAAGTAGGAGATAGAACCTGCGGAGACACCGTTTGCTTGACACAGTTTTCGCTCGCAGCAAATGGTCGTTGCGGCTGTGTCCAGCTCGTCTGTTGGACAGCTTGGCTGGCCTCCCGGCTCCGGAGCGGCCTGGTCGTTTCGTTGTGTTTTTGAGAACAGCTGGTGCAACCAAACTCAGGAGGGTAAAGGATGGGGAGCCAGGCCAACTCTGCTTCTACGCTCTGCCTTCGTATTTTGGGGCACATGAATTGCCGTGTTCACTGAACGCGCACCCACCCCCCTCTCCTGACTTCTCAGGCATTCGATGCCCTGAGCAAAGCGACGTCCGGCAAAAGTCCCTTCATCAAAGCAACAAAAACGACATTATAACGCAATTAGGACCTTTCATGTCCGAGTAACTACGCACAAGCAGCCGTCACCAACTCGATATCGTTTGTTCAATGTCCGAACTAGTTATGGAAATCATTCACACTGCTTGACGGTTCTTCACACCTTCTAAACCATCGAGTATTGCTATCCCACACCAACTGTGAAATGTAACAACAGACCGCGTGAAGAAGTCTCAAATGTCGTTGATTTTGTCATCTACCCAAGGTTGCTATGGATGCCCCTCCTTCCGAACTTATTAGCACAAACACACACATATATGCTCTTCCCCAGAAGAGATTCCATCTCATGCTCCCACCCGACCTGGCGAAATGTCTCGCACTCTGGAAATATCTCACCTGCGCTTGCAACTCATCACTCTCAAACGGGGTCCTGGCTCCTTGCTTTGGCGATGTAAAAGAATCTTTGAGATTCCTCTGTGGCCCGGCCTTCGGTGAGCCAGATAGGTAAGGCCTCCACACAAATGTGTCAATGCATCAAGGGGATTCGGGCACTGCAGCAACTGGTGCTGTACTGGCCCTGCAAGTACTTGAAGATTGCATTCATGTCTCAAACACTTTGTTTGACTGCTTGTCATGGAGCCAAGTCTGGTTCATATTTCATCCACCAGGTCTCTTCTCTAGATCAAAGGACTACTGAAGTTAGCTTCACCCAAAGCTTCATCCTGTACATATATAAATCTTGGCAATCCAAATGTCCCTTTGGTTCCTTTGCAGATATACTTTCAGTACCGTTTACAAGAAGTCCATATCTTGTGTTGCCTCGAGGTCCGAGGAGTGCAGGTTGATTTAAGATCTTTCAGCACAAAGACACGCGTGGTGTGTCTTTAATGGAGCTATGCATCTTGAACAATGGAAAAGTACAGCCAGAACGCTTTGCCGTCCCAACACAGGGATGAAGCATAGGTTCCTTAAAGATGGGATATCCTCTGCAGGTGGCAGCCACCAAGGCTTCTTGCTTACAGTGTCGGTGATCCGGAGGTGAAGTCGTGCTGGGCCGGAAGTGTGTTGAGTGTACCGCAACTGTCAGTTGGTGCTGGACGGACTCAAACGAGGTTTGGCATGGATGAGTGGCCCGATGTTCAGGCTTCACTTCTGTGCGCAGGTGTAGCATCTCTTTTTTTTGAGGCGGGCGTCCCATTGGGATTGGTCGCTTGAGAGCGTGCCTAACAGCCTTGTGTTCATGACACATTTAAGTAAAGACATAGTGGCTTTTGCTGATGCACATGAGGTTGAACACTGTGCACATTTTGCTACAAACACGAAGGTGTGGCACGGTGACTCTTCATGTACTTTGTGCGTGTTGGAGGTGTTTGGCAAAAGGTGTCGCAAGGCAAAGTACATTTCAAGCACTGGTGAAGTGGTGCGTTCTCAGAAGTGTAAGTGGTGTGCTTTTGCCACTGGTGACATGGTAGATGCTTCGGGTTCATGGGTTAAATACGGTTCCACAAAGCAGCTGTTGGACTTAAGACAAAGCAGCTTCTGTGCAAAATGTCTCCCAAGTAAAGGCCAACACATTGTGTTTATACACAGTTGCCATTTACCCCGTTGATCACATGCCCCAGCATGAAAAACCTTAGCATGATTGCTCGAAGAAGAGTTCTCGTACCAAGAGACGTATTCCGTTCAAGAAGCACTTCATGGTAAAAACCTTCCTTTTATCTTCGCAACCTTGTCCGAGCTCTGCACTTTTGGGTCAAAATGAAGATTGTGAGTGTGCGCCTGGCTTTGTACCGACCTCCATTCACTTACGCAACCCAGTTGTTTTGTTTGTCATGGTTCAGGTGACGGGCAAAGCCATCCCAGCACCAGAAGTCTCCGCTCCTCCAATACCCTACCTCTTCTTAGCGATTATCTATTGGATTTGCGCCAACAACGTAAAAGTGCTTTGGGTACGGTATGAATCATGAGGAGGTATCATCCATTCTCTTCCTCGTCCTGTTCACCAGTCCTGGCCTCCTCGCATTCACCAGGTCTCGCCTTGTGCGTTTATCACATGTCGCATGAAGCAAATGAGGCTAGCAGAATGAAAAGTCGGAATTTGCAAAACTGCTTCTACCCAGCTCTCTCCTTCCAAACTTGCAAACAACTGGTTTGAAAAGGTTGTCCTAGAGTCACGGCCCCCACCAGCATTGGTCTTCCTACAAAGAATCAGTCAAACTCTGATTATATATTTTTTGATCGATTATTCTGCTGATTTACCCTGCAATTCAACAGATTGGCTCCCAGCCTGATTTCTCAATTGGACGGAGCAGCAGTTCTCTCCCTGACCAACTTTCTTCGGTGCCATCACAAGGAGCATTAAGTGATTTGCGCGCAAGAAACATGACGAAACCCTTAGACCCTTTGAATGGAGATCCAAATAGGTTGCCCAACAAAGAAGGAAGAAGCCCCTTTGCTGAAACTACGTGCACCCACACCTTTGATGTAGACAATGTAGACAACTGCAGGTTGGATGTGGAACTTGGAGAATGCCCTATGCCTGACCTCCACAGAAGATGCACTGCCCATGGCCTGAGCACAGGGTTAGCTTTTCAAACGGAAAGACAGCTTCGCAACAGGCAACAGCACGTTCAATCCACGAGTGGCTGAGTGGACGTGATGGTCTTCGAAGCAGTCAAAACCTTAAAAACCCTGTCGCACAAGCTGCTGACGGGTCTACTTATTGCTAAAGCGGTCTCCTGAGTTTAGTGGTGAATCCTCTTTTATGTCTTGAAGACTGGTCATCCAACTGAGTCCCAGCCTCGGCCGGCCCGTCAGACCAGCCGGCCCGTGCGGCCTGTCTTCCGCGTGACCAAAACGGAGGACGCCACGTGTGTGACACAGCTGGATGGGTCTCCACAGGATCAGTCAAGCCATTGAGCAAAGGGCCACTCACAAGACCTTCCCAGGTTAGGGGAGAAGGCTACTGACTGGGTATCAGTAGTTGTTCAGTGATGTCTAAGTTCTACCATTTCATTTTGTGGGCAAAGGCTGTTCTGGAATCCTAGATCTTTGACTGTACGACTGTGGGGAGGAACTTTGGTAGATTAAGTTGGCATTTTGCAGGGTAACAAAGCATGATTGAATGATTGACAAGTGATTGACATAATCTTTCTGAGTTCAATCTGGGACTTGTTGGTAGAATACCGTGCACTTTCCGCAGCTTTCCAGGCGCTACTTTTTTTTTTTTTTACATCTCCCTCAAAATGCAATATTCAAGATGGAGGGACACCTCTCAAGGTTAAAATAACACGGACCTCCCTCATGCATAGACCATAAAACCCTATAAAACCACATAAAACCTGCTTCGATTCGAGCAGCCTGTTCCACTCCCGTCGGTGTTGGTGTGAAGGCCTCACTCCTCCTTTGAGTCCATGAACGCCATGCTTGAGCCAAAGTGCCAAGGAAAACAACAAGTTTCAAGACTGACATCTTTTGAACGCAATCGTTTGAAGCATGCCGTTTCCAAGCAGCAGCAGAAACATTTAAAAGACATCTGCAGCCAGCCAAGCCATGGAACGTCTGCTTGAGTCTCAGATTTGTCACTGGATGCAGTCCAAGTCTTTTCTTGCATTGCTTGGTTGGTTGGTGCATGGAATCTCAACTTGGCTGCCGTACGGATTGCACCAACTCATGCAGAGCAAGGCTGCGCGGGCTGCCAACCTCCCTTCCTGATGCCAAGTGAAGCTTACGAACAGAAAGTGCTATCTGCTATGTCTGTAGCAGCAATGAAAAAGAATCCCTTTCACAACCCTTGGTTGCCGGGTCGCTTCATTTGATCGCAAACGCAAACTGAGACGTCGCTCTTTGGAGTAGGGGAACCAACACACACTTTTCGCGATCCCATCAAGTCCACGTCTCGCACAAGAAAACACGTCCTGCAAGTCGGAGAGAAATCGGAAGGTCTAAACTGTGACTCTTTGGAACGTCAAGGACCATGTCTTTCTGTGTCGATCCGCATCCAAATTTTGGACTCCTCTGTCTTCAGTGCTCAGTGACCCCGATGGTGGACCAAACGACTAGATCTCTATTGCGGGCTCCTTTTTGTTGCACCTCTCGTCGTACAACAAGCACTAGATTTTAGAGGCAGAATTATCTAGCCAAAAAAGCACTGGTTGGGATGGGGCAATAGGCATTCAACGAAACAAGCAAGCAAGGAAGCTGGATTCGGCATTGCCAAATTGAACTTGTTCCAAACACCGGGCCCTCCACCGGCCTCCAAGCCGAGACTCCTCCATTGCTCCAGGTGCCCGCGTCAGGAGACTGGAACCTGCAGCAGTAACACACTCCAGTCCACGCGCGTTGGGGGTTGAGACGCCTCTCAAGTCAAAAGATACTGGTCATTTCACGGGGGCAGAGTTACAGCAGGTTCCCTGTTGGAGGGCAAAACCAAACAATCGCTGGGAGCTTCAGTAGTTTGTGCAAATATGGAGTTGTCGGAGGGGCGGTTCTATGGCTCCTATCTTGTTACTACTTGGGTTTTGGGGTATCGAAAGATCGTCACTCCTGATCATTTCGGCAGTCGCAAACAAATCCAAATGAAGCCGGCCATGGCAAAACCCCTCCTGAAGAGCCTCAATGTGAAATGAGGAAATTGCTGTTGCCCTGAACCAAAGGGTTTCCATCTACTCAGTCTTTCATGGCAAACGCGTTGAGAAAAGTGTCAAGCCATGTCAAGCCAACTTGTTTCCTGTACTAATCAGGGTTCTGCGGCATTGTTTCACACAACTCGAAACAAGGGAAACAAGTGAACTGCGCTCAAGTTGCTTTCCTCTTGAGCCAGGCCTCTCCCCCTTAAGCTTCCTTTAACTACGATGGATTAATCCCTGCATAGCGCGTTCAAATTGTGATCTTGCTCTTGCTGGTGGGGAGAATTGGATGGACTTTCCAACACCCTCTAGAGAACTGAACCTGACACGCATGGATGGGGCCTGGAATAAGATTCCCATGTGAAGCTGAAACGCTCAAACACTCTGCAGCTTCAGTGAAGGCTCTAAGCTAGACTCAACTGGACTCCTCTGCGCTTGATGGCAATGTGTGGCGCTCACCGCGTTCACCCAGACCTCGTTGACCCGGCTGCTCAGATTCCACATCACTGGAGTCGAAACACAAATCCTGGGCGAGGACGCGTGGCTTTCATAGATCTGTGATGGGTTGCTCAGTGTTTCAAACAATAACCGCCAGAACGTGAAGGAAATACACACCTTAGTAGTGGGAACATCATGATCGAGAGGGTAGCTGCTAGACTGAAGCATGAAAGGAACCGCTAAGTTGCTGACTAACAAATTAACAAATGATTGCACCGTATGATCCAACAACGAGAATCTGACAGAGCTCTGATTCATCTGGGCATCGCCTGGCAGGGGTTACACCTCGGCGATCGCGACCATGCGACCAAGAATTCTGCAAGCACAGGCAATATGTTGCCCCAGAGAACCTATGATAATTATGACATAGTTTATTTCTTGCTGCAATGTGGTGTGACACTTGTAAGGTCCAGCGCGGCATGGAGTACTCCAAAGATCGCGTTTTTTGTGAGCGAGGTCCACCAAAACAAAAATTCACTCCCGGGCTTGTGATGGTAAGGGACCAGGGTGTACAATGGCCTAGCATAGACACGCAATACCTACACATCGTTGGCGTGTAGATTCCTGGACGATAACTTCTCGCAACAACATGCAAGGACTTTACCAAGAGAAACCACAAAGCCCCGCGCGCCGCGTTTAGGAATCATTCCGGTCCTTCACCTCTCAGTGCTGGTCGCTGAGAAGCTTGCTTTGCAAAGGCCAAGCTGTCTGCTTGCCAGGCCTGGATGACCTCAGGGCTCGCTTTGTATCCTGTTGTATCCGAGCGCTTGCCAGGTGTGATGATGTTGAGCTATAGTTCATCACAAAAGGGAAGAACACATCTGGAAAAAAGAGCACCTTCAGAAAATACAATCCATGCATCCTTGAGCTCAAATCTTGTCAACTTTCAGTCATGTGTTCCGACTTAGCACCAGCTCTGGCACAGCCTTCCGGACTTGTTTTCTCGAGCCAAGCACGAGGGTACTCAATGGTGAAAATGCAAACGACTGAATGGTATAACAACTGCTTGGAAAGATTAGGGCATAAAAAATGCGGGCACAGCAACATTTAGACCATCCAAAATCGATCGCTCCCAGAGGCATCCGTCCCCCATAGGCACGCCAATGCGAGGGTGGATGCGCGCTTCACGTGCGAAGTCTTGGCCGCTACTCACATGGATCCGGCCCTTGCCCCATTCAACAGGCCTCCCATTCCTGAAGCGTTCCCTAGGCTGAGCTGATCAAGTCAACCAAAACCACAAATGTGTGCAACAACTTTTGGGGAGGCAGCCGGCTAAATCCAGGACTGCTAGAAAAGGGACAACACCAAAACATAAACCTCAGGTGTGTCTCAAGGCCCATGGTTGACTTATCACAGAGTCGACCTACTTACCTTGAGACACACCCACACCACTGGGCAGTTCAAGTTTCCTGTGTAGTTGCCACTGATCCGCCCGTTCATCACTGAGCTCAGAGGATCCAGCAGTGTATCGTTCCACCCAATCCTGGGGGACAACACCAAGTGAAGTCCGAGGTGGTCCGTTTGTGGAAGGTTCAAGCACAAGGGCCTGTCAGGGAAGTTTTCTGGTATCTCCAAGGCAAGTGAGAAAATTTCGCAGCTAGCTGTGGAAGGTATATGCCACGAGTATATTGGGCAGTGGCCAAGCTCCGGAAGAACTCAATTATCTTGTCCTCATGCAAGAGTCCTCGAGCAACGTTCAGCTCACGCTGCTTTGCAGTGTTAGTAAAGAGTTGAGGCTGGACACCTTGTTTGCCTTTTTGGTTTTGGTGTCGTTCTCCTTCTGTTCCTTTTCATTTTTCTGTCCTTTCCCCTGTCTTTCTTTATGTTTTTCCGTCGCTTCTTCCTCTTCAAGGGCGAATTTGTCGCAATGCTCTCAACGTCAGAAGGGCTGTCCATATCCATAGCAAAAAACTGGTCCAGCTCAGAATCAAGTTTGCCGGGCTGACGGTCTCGGGGGCTCGTCTCCTCAAGGAACTTCAGCATCTGAGCCTGACGTGAAACGTTGGAAAGTCAAGCGGCGCAGTACATCCAAGGTACAGATATACGTATGCTGTCTGTAGGTTAAAAAGTGCCAGTTGATGGCCCAATAGCCGTCGTTCAATAATAGGCAAGCGACAAATGACATGTCAGCTAAGATACCCTCTTCCTTGTTCTGACACACAGATGCATCCGCTAGCGCCCTTTCAAACTGCGCTTGATCTGGCTTCTGGCTGCAATCCTTCGACTGCTGCAAGGACGTCAACAATAAATTAGGTGGAGAGTGCACTAATTGAACTTGGACTTCAATGTGTAACAAAAATGACAGACAGCTTCGGGCATCGTCTTGTCCATTGTCATCAGCAGTCTTGTCTTGCTTTTTCCCTTTCATGGACGCGTTGGTTCCATTGGGGCCATATATTCTTGGTTGACTCAGCTTTGACTTCTTCATGAGGCGTGGCATTCAGTGCGTGATCGACCATTTCGTTGCGCATCCTCTTTCACTGTGGCCTTGTCTAATCAAGTCCGCCAACGTCAGCCATCTTTTCAGGAAAGACAGGCTGCACAGGCCTCTTGCCAATGGCCTTCTGCGCAGACAACCAATAGCGTTCGTCTGTGATGCCAACCAAGTCTCCATTGCAAAGCGTTCAGTGAAGAAGACATTCTGATGAGTCTGTTTGCCGAAGTAGGATACTATGATGTCGATGTTCACAAGGAAGGTCATCAGAGGCAATGTAAAAACAGTTGCGCAGTCATTTACTTACCGCAATGCAAGCAAAGCCATTATCAATCAATATAACAACAATATGTAATCGTAGCTTCTGGAGAAGCCCAGTGACAGAAACTGAATGGGATGCCTGCAAACTCAGCAAACTCTTCATTCCTGTCTGCCCGCACCAGTCCATTCGCTGCTGCAACAATTGCAGATTTGCGGAGTGATGATCGTCGCAAGCCGGAGACTTCCAGTACGCCATGGAACCGTCATGCAAACCAACCATATTCTTGGAACCCAAGGCTAACAAAGCACTGATTGTCAAGCGTCACCAAACCCAGCGCAGCAGAAAACGCTAGCGCGCTTGAACGCCAGATACGCTGCGACTGGTCTCTCTTCCTCTGTTCCAGCTGGTTTCACTTCCTCAATGACAAGCCACCGTCAGTGAGGCAGAAAAAGGGTGAAAAAGGAATGCCCCCCGCGGTCACCCATCAGACAACGCTATACGAATTTATAAACGACTGCCTGCCCAGGTAAACGAAGCGACTACTTATGGTGACTAGCTTCAGCTTCGTTCAAGAGTGGTAGAGCTCTGAAGCAAATTGCGACGTTAAACAAGCCTGGCAGCATCATCTGGTCGTGCGCTTGACCCATCTTGTTTGATAAACCTAATGATCTTTATGACAAACCCTGAAGAGTTGGCTGGTTCCTCACCTTCTTTCTTTGGCTTGAAATCATCCACGGTGATTCTCTCAAGTTGCACGTGAAGTGAAGCATTGTTCAGCTCTTGCGAAATGTCTTCCTGGCTGTGTTATTGTGGTTGAGGGCCTGCTAAACACTCACCATGCAAATTTCTAGTTTGAGCTTCTCAGCCAATTGCGCGGTCGACGCTCGGGAACATTGAGTCAATGGGCCGCGCCAGCTGCAATCGCGGCCACCGCAAATCGATTGCTTGCTTCACAGCGTTGAATGAAATTCAGTTTGTCATTGATCCAGTTCTAGTTGTTAATTTTTGCTGTTCCTTGCTTCTGGGGCTTTGCTATGCGTCCAGGGTTTTGACTAACATGTCATGAAAAGCATACTTGGGCGATTGCATCAACATGCTTGAGTGATTGCATCAACATGCTTGGGTTCTTGTATCAACACGCTTGAGGGATAGCATCAGCATGCTTGAGTGATTGCACCAATATACCAACTTGAGCCATTGTCTTGCTCACGCAGCCAGCGTTAAAACTTCCACCCAAATATAATTGTGTAAGTGTCACACGTTTTGTCAAATGTTTTGTCCACGTTTTGAAGACGACGTCATACCTGCTCGGAGCCCGCCGTGTAGAGTTTGGACGAGTTCACCTTGCCATCCCACACTCACTTGACAGTTGGGAGGGTTTACGGTTGTACTTTCTTAAATGGTTTTGCCACTGTGGGATGCCAACTGAATTGCTGCCTTTGAGAGTCGCGAGAAACATATAAAAACCACTCAATTTTTTGTATAGAACCATGGACGCAACACTCAAGATCAGCGTTGATGCAATCACTCAAACATGTTGATGCAGTAGTCACTCAAGCACGCCACCCCTCAAGCATGTTGACGCAATCACCCAAGCATGCTTTTCATGACATGTTAGTCAAAACCCTGGACGCATAGCAAAGCCCCAGAAGCAATTATCAGCAAATTAATATTTAACAAGCGTTAGCAAAAAATACGTGCTATTGCGGTAAATTTTCGCAGGTGAGAAAGGGAGAAGCCGACCGGCTCAGCAAGAACCCTAGTGAATCTCTGGCGGCGTAAGAAACCGATCCTTGCAATCCCGCGATCTGCCGCTATTTTCATCAACAAACCACAGAGAGCCTCTGGCAAAGTGTGAGTGAAGCCGCGCATATACCGGTCCTCTCCGCTGCAATGTTCACAGTCAGTCTGCAGCAATGTTGGAGCGACGTTATTCTTGTGAAATTGCTTCTCCACTGCGCTTGGTGCGATGAAGGACTGTGGCGTGGTGGAGCTGGGAAAACAGGGTAGCAATTTCAGAGCGCACCCAGGCAATATTGAATCGCTCTGCCTGGTACTGAATATTTTTGTTGCAGTCGGTGGAGCAACGTGGGCATCGCAAATCAGAATAAGATTGGAGTCCGTGCATAGTCCACCCTCAATCAGTCAATGAAAAACTCGTCAGGCAGTGACAGTGAGTCAGTCTTTGGTACGGTGGTGACTGAGAACTACAAGCTTACAGATGACTAAATGGCCCCATACATTGGACACGCAGATTTCAGAATTTCATCAACTTGTCGACTGTCCTTTTTGATGGGCACAGATTGCGCCCCGACATTATTGTTTAGCAGCCGAGAACTATTCCTCCTTTTACTCGCAGATCAAACATATGCATAATTAAGGTTGATAATTGCAAGTCGTTCATCTTTGCATTGCGCGCGCCGCGATTGACTGCCGCGATGTGAAGATTCTCGCCTTGCTGTGTGTCCGCCGGCCCAACGCGTTTGAACACCCATCAATGGACCCGGTGAAGATGAGTTAACTGACTGACAAGCTTTTAGACCCGTGACACCAGGAGTTTTTACACAACAGCTCCTGCGCAATCTTGCTTCTGAAGTCGCCGCAAAGTTGGTTCAACTTGAGGTCAGTGGTTCAGGCGGAATAGAGGCCACCATGCGTACTCTTCCGGCTTGGGCTATGTACTGCGTCGATCGATATCTCAGAACGCTGTCGCGGTTAACCCACAAAAGCGGACAGCCAACGGCTCTGGCAGGTAAGCAAGAGGTAGTTATTCGTAAGTTGAAATTCAGGCCCCAAGCCAAAGACATGAATGCGCGAGTAACCAAGTCGGGAAGTAGTCCGATCTTGAGGTCTGATAGACTGGGCTGCAGTATCCAGAAAGAGACTGCGCATTTCGTGATTTCTTGGGCGAATCTTCAAGATTAAGTTGTCACCAAACTCCAGAAATTACATCACTGTCTGGGGAACACATCCTCAAAGAGCATCGTCGCCTTGGCTCGTGCGTGACCAAAGCTCTCATCCTAAAAAGCACCGCCACGATTGACCTTTGTCGCGAGTCTGAAACAGCGTAATACTAGAGCTGAAGAATCGCGTGAAAAAGCAAGCCAACACAGAAGGCTAGCAAACAAAGCTTTCGAAACAATTTCACAAAACAAAAACTCCGAAAGAGGGCGAAGCACTAGCCAAACCCTGCTGCGTTCATTGCTTTCGTGATGCAGTTGCTGTCCGTGTGTAATGCGTAGCCGCGAAGTGCTCCGAGAAGGTCGCTTTTGTGGACGTTCTTAGTCCTGACTGAAAAGCAAGAGGATGAGGTGTTTAGACTTAGACAGCGGCTCGCTTTTAACGACAAAGAACCAGACACGACCCTGATACAAATTAGAAAACTTAATCAAGAAGAAGCCCTGAGAACCTTCGCGGTCTGCAAAGAAAATGATTAAACATTCCTTCTCCAAACCCACATCCCTCAAGGCCGTTGGCTCTGTGGCCAGCGGATCCAGACCAACGTGTCCACGCTAAGATTGAGCGATCCCAAGCAAGGATCTAGCGTCAGGAGCGCATGGACATGAGATTTCTTCTTCACTTGGCGGCGGGCTGTTCGTGCTTTTTTGTTGGCTGCTGCTGCTGCTGCTGCTGCTGCATGACGAGGGTAGTCCTTGGCTTTCTGACGGTCAAGGGCAGCAAAGATGACCGGTGTTAAAAATTAAAGTGAGAAATCTGTTGAAATAAAGTGAATGACACGAACGTGCAGGAGTGAATGAATGACAAGAACAATCGACTTTGCAGGTCT